GAGCAATTATACAAGACAAAGAAATGAAAATAATAAAGATAGGAAAAGAGGAAGTTAAATTATCATTATTTACAGATGACATGATAATCTATACAGAAGCCCCCAAAAATCCATTGAAAAAATCCTAGATATAATAAATAAATTCAGCAATGTAGCTGGATACAAATTCAATACTCAAAAGTCAATAGCATTCCTATACACTAACAACAAAATCACTGAGAGAGAAATAAAATGAAGCCACACCCTTCATACTACATCCAAAAAAATGAAATACTTCTACCAACACTACCAATATATCTACAAACACTCAATCAACTTATCTTTGATAAAGGGGCCAAATATGTTGATGAAATATTTAAAAATTAACCTAATAAAAGAAATAAAGTATCTATTTTGGGAAAATTACAATATCCTGAAAAAATAAATCAAAGAGAACCTCAGTAAATGGAAAGACATACCTTGCTCAAGGATAAAAAGAATAAATATAGTGAAAATGGTCATTCTCCCAAAATTGACATACAGATTCAATGCAATCCCAACCAAAATGCCACTAACATGCCTCACAGATCTAGAGAAACCACTCCTAAAATTCATCCGGAGCTAAAAGAGACCTAGAATAGCAAAGGCAATTCTAAGCAGCAAAGACAAGGCAAGAGGCATCACAATCCCTGACTTGAAGTTATACTACACAGCTACTGTAATAAGATCAACATGGTACTGGAATAAAAGCAGATCTGAAGATCAATGGAATAAATTAGAAAATACAACCACATCTACCAGCACTCAATCACCTTATCTTTGATAAAGGGGCCAAACATGTTCACTGGAAGAATGATAATAAAGTCTCTTTAATAAATTGTGCTGGAAAAACTGGCTCTCCATATGCCAAAAACTAAAACTAGACCCGTGCCTATCACCATGTACTAAACTAAAGTCTAAATGGATCAAAAATCTGAATATTAAAATAGAAACACTAAATCTATTGGAAGACAAATTGGGTAGAAACTTTGAAGACATTGGCGTAGGTAGAGAATTCATGAACAAGAATCATATCACATGGGAAATGCTTCCCAGAGTTAATAATTGCATCATATCGTATTACAGAGTTTCTGCATGTCGAAAGAAATCTCCAGAATAGTGAAAAGAAAACCCAAAATTGGGATAAAATCTTAGTAAACTGTCCCTCGGACAAAGGTCTTCTGTATAAAACAAACAAAGAATTTTTAAAATCAGACCCCCAAAATTCAAGGACAAAATCCAAAAATGAGCATCTGCATTGAATGCACAGTTCTCAGATGGAGAAATACAAATGGCAAATACATACATGAAAAAATGTTCATCATCATTACTCATTAGAGAAATGCAAATTAAAATCACATTGAGATTCCATCTCACACCTGAAACAATACCCAGGATCAAGAAAACTACCAACAACAAATGCTGGAGAAGCTGTGGGGCAAAAGGACCTCTTCTGCACTGTTAGTGGGAGTGTAGTCTGGTGCAACCACTGTGCAGGTCAGTCTGGAGATTCCTCAAAAATAGGATTGGAAGTCCCTTTTGACCCATCTATTCCACTTCTGGGCATATTCCCAGAACTGAAATCATCATACCACTATGATATATTTGCACCCATGTTTATAGCAGCCCAATTTGTAATAGCCAGATATTGGGAACAAACTAAGTGTTCATCAACTGAGGAATGGATTAAAAAGTTGTAGTTTTTTATACAATGTAGTAATACTCAGCTGTAAAGAATGACCACATTGAGATATCTATAAATAAATTGATGCAACATGAGACCATACTCATAAGTGAAATAAATCAAACTCACATGTATAAATACTGTACAATCTCCCTAGTGTAAGAAATGGTAAGAGTACAGAAGATTTTATGGTAATCTTGGTTCCCCATTACATTGCTTTGAAGCCTTATAATGTTTTAATTCTTTCATTGGAATAGTGTTACTCTGTTTTGTTTGATGTTATTATATGTGATGGTATTAACAGCTACTTTGAAGGAAACAGGACATTATGCCAGCCATTGCTGATTTAATATCATCTTTCTTTGAAGTCCTACCATGCTTTTGGTCTTCTATTTCCATTGGTTCTATCATGATGTGTCTTATTGTTTTTTAATATACATGATAGTATAAAGAAAATTTTTATGGAAATTGAGATATTTTAGCACTCATTGTTAATTTTCTGTTACTTTATTCTAAATACCCTGTAATACTTTCATTCTCTTGAATTGTTTTATACTATTTTGTTATGTTTGATACTATTGTGTATGAAAGTATGCTCAACTATTTCAAGGAAAGAGACATTATGGTAGCTATTGTTAATATCTGATTGTCTTGTTGTGAAGTGCTGTGTTGCTTACATTGTTCTGTTCTGATTTGTTTTGTTCATTCCTCTTTTGTCTTATTCTCTTTAAAGTAAAACAAAATTAAAAAAGAATGCATTATCACAAATTTTAATGGAAAAAATCTCACAAAATCTCAAGCACATTAAATATTCCACTTGTATACTTCTAATTTCTACTTTTACTACTATAATTTTGGCAAGATACAACTAGTGCCTAAATAATATATAGTAATATTATATCATCTCACTCTCTCTTACTGTGTTTAAGGTTTTCTCTTATTTCATCTTCCTGTGCCTAACACTATTTTTTGTATTCCACCATTTTACTATATGTTTCTACATTGTTGTTATCTACTGTTGTGTTGTTAAACACAGATATTGTATTTATGGACTTTAATTTTAGATATGGACTAAATTATAGATATGGTCTCACTCTCTAGGTTTGGTTGAATTTCTGTAATAATTTCACTTCCAAAATATACTTATTATTTAATTCCCTGAATATTTTATTGCAGTTATTTAAATTCCCTCGATGGTTACTCTACTAGTTGAATACTATTTGAAAATTTATTTTATGGTGAATTTTTTTTTCTTCTTGGCTTTCAAGTTAATATTTCTAACATGAGCTTTTTGACTGGCAGATATTTTAGAAGACAAATCATAGAATTATTCAGAAAAGGGGTAACTTTTCTTCTTCCAGGAAATGAATTTAACAGTAAATCATCTTACACAAAAAGAATTTAAATGATTAGAAATTGGACACTTATGCTTATGAAGAATAGCCCACCTTTAATTAACCCTTTCTTATTAACAGGGGTACCTCTCTTGTCAATCTTGAATTATACTTGTATTCCCGTAGCAACGCCAATTTGGAAAATGCTCTACTGAATGTAGATACTCTTGAATGAATAACGTCTTAAGAAGGAGATTCACCTGGCCCTTTTACATCAATATGAGAGCATGGATACAGAATTTCAGTTGCCCTTGTCACAGCCAGAAGGTGATCACTGAAGAGGAAGTGGGAAAGGATCCCCTGTAATGACTCTACACCACTCTTCATGTCCTTGCCCTCATTTTGGTAAAGAATGAAGAAGCTGGGGCTCTTAGCAGAAAATGAGGGAGTCAAGGCTGAGGCAAAAGTGAATTTAAAGGGTAGCCAATACAGAAAAAGCAGAAGAAAATCTAGTTTTTAATTTTCTTTCAAAGAGAAAAAAAATACAAAAGATACAAAACGTTGTTTAAAAACAAAGATACAAAATTTCAAAAACAATATAATAGGAAAATGACAATAGTTAATATATTGCATATTGTTATCTTCAAATTAATTGCTCAGATTATGAGATATTGGCATGTATAATTATTCAAACAATATAAACACAAACCACTCTCTTCAATGAACTATCATTATCTTACCTGTTTTATATGTATATATTTTTTCCTTTTTCTTTCCTTCTTTTGTCTTTTCACCTATCTTAGTTTTTCTTTAGGTGCGAGCTGTGTCTTTCACACAATATCTATTGTATATTTTGGGTCTTACTTAATTTTTAATTTCACAGTGTAATATTTACACATATGAGTCTGGTTTATTTCACTCAATATCAACTCTAGTTGCATCTATTTACCTATAAAAACCTCCACAAGTTTTTCCTTCTTTGTAGCTGAATAATATTACCTTATATAAAAGTATTACATCTTTTTAATCCACTCCTTGGTTGATGAGAAGTTGGGTTTTTTCCAAGATTTAGCTATTACAAATTGTGCTGTAATAAACATGGGTGCGAGTATATCGCTATGGTATGAAGCTTTCAGTTCATCTCAGAAAATGCATAGAAGGGGAATAACTGGTTCAAATGGGACCTCTAATCCTAGGTCATTAAGGAATCTTCATACTGATTTCCACAATGGTTACATCAGTCTACACTGCCAACAACATTGGAAAAGTGTTCCTTTGTCCCCATAGCCTTAGATGATATTTACCACAATCTGATAAAAGCAGTCTCTGACAAACCAACAACCAACAACTAAATGAACATAAACTGAAAGCTTTCACTCTACAATCAAGAGCAAGACAAGGATGTCCACTATTTCCAATCCCTTTCAATGCAGTTCTGGAAACATTAGCCAGGGAAATCAAACAAGAAAGAGAAATAAAAGGAATAAAAATAAAAAAGGAAGCAGTTAAACTATCTTTATTCACAGATGACATGATACTCTACATATAAGACCCCCAAAATCCCACCAATAGTTTTCTAGAATTAATAAACAAAATCAGTAGCATACCTGGATACAAAGTTAACACTTAAAAATCAATAGCATACCTGTACACAAACAACAAGAGAGAGGAAAACGTATCTTAACAGCAAAGTGAACTATGTTATAGAGGGCATCCCACTTTGAATGCCTCATGAGTTTCATACTAATAGAGGTAAGCTTGTTTCTAAAAATAACTGTTGCATTGATTGATGTAGTTTGGACCAATCAGGGTCTTAGTCTTTGTTTCTGTGAAGGAGATAATGTCAATCGGGATTTCTTAAGCATGTAGCAAATGTAGCACTTTCATAAGGAGTCCATCTTTGAAGGATAGAATAGACTATCATTAGTGTAAGTCGGGTTTTTGCTCTCTCACCTTCTCTGCAGGAAACCAAACGCAGCTGCTTCCACAAGGAAATGACTTCCTCTCTGACCCAGGCTCCACAGTTTCAAAGGATCTAGCTTCCAGCTTCTCAGGTGAGGACATCCCCAGGACATCTCTGCTCCTTCCCATACATGTAAGCACCACTGCCTCACTCTGTGTCTCTCCTCAGACAATGGACAGCTGCGCCTGGTGGATGGTGGTGGTCGCTGTGCAGGCAGGGTGGAGGTCCAACATGATGGCTCCTGGGGCACCGTCTGTGATGACAGTTGGGACCTGAGAGATGCCCATGTGGTGTGCAGACAGCTCGGCTGTGGAGTGGCCCTCAACGCCACTGTCTCTGCTCACTTTGGGCAGGGATCAGGGCCCATCTGGTTAGATGAATTGAACTGCACAGGAGATGAATCCCACTTGTGGAACTGCCCTTCCCAGGGCTGGGGACAGCATGACTGCAGGCACAAGGAAGATGTGGGAGTCATCTGCTCAGGTATGTGCTCACTGTCCACAGTCCGGGAGGAGGAGTGAGGCTCTCTTGACTGTCTTCTGACCATAGTGTTAGAGTAAAGAGAGTAGCATTTCAGCGCACTTTGGGGCCCAGGGAATATTTTTACAGATTAGGTCCCAATATTAGAGAATGCATATGTGCAAGACAGTAGCAACAATAGCAGGCTTCATAGAGCAGAGCAGAGCAGAAGTGCAAGAGAACTGCCTGCATATTTACTATGAATTCTTATACAGGTTGTTAACTCATGTTTACATCCCTACATAGTGCTACAACCAATGCACAAATGTTTGCCTGTGTTAAGTCATGGTTATATAACTGTATTCCAATATGTGTCTGCACTAGATGAGTGAGGTTGCATCCTCAAGTATCCTTAGATGCTCCTGATCTTTGAAGCAGTCTGAGTAGTTTCTCACATAGCTCAATGGGCCAGAAGGAAAGAGGTGCCTTTTCCATTACCTGTCTTTCTAGGAGACAATATAATAAGTGCTCACATTTTTTTGCATTATCTCCATTTCTGGTGCTTCTCACCTCTGTAACCAGATACAATGATTTTCTACAGTGTATACCTAAAATCAGGGTTTATTCTTTAGTTCTCTGTGGGTTCAAGATGCTTTGGTCCACTGTATTATCATCTTATTGCCACTGTAACAAATGACCACAGAACAAGAAACTTCATACATGAACTATCTTACACTTTTGCAGGCAAAAGTCCATTCTATGTCTGCCTGGGCTGAAAAAACAGCGTCCACAGCCTACATTTGGGATGACTCATATCCTTCTCTTTCCCTGCTTTTAGAAGATGCCTTTGAACTTCTTGGCTTCTTTTCATTTTCTTCACAGTCATGTCTTCCTGTAACAAGTCACATAAAATGTTGTCTGTTAGTTAGGATATAGGTGTAAGGATATATTTAGATTGGGTTCACCTAGTTAACTCAGGACAAGCCAGAAAAATCTTATCAAGAAATAGTCCTTATTGAATCTTATCTGCCAAAACCCCTTGCTAAATGAGGCAACATGTTCACAGATGCCAAAGATCATGAACATATTAAGGGCTTCCCCATTCACCCTGCCCACCATTGTTCACATGGTCTTTCAGATGTTCAGTAAGGAAAAATGGTTCAGATTTTCCTTGCTGAAGAGCACCTACGTCAGGCATCCTGGCATTTCCTTCTGCTCTCCTCCGTATCATTATGCTAAACAGTAAAAAAAAAAGTATTCAGGTTTGAAAAAAAAAAATAAAACAGAAATAGCAAAAAATACTCAGTCTTTCTGCTTGGGAGACCTGTATTGAGTACAGTCAGCAGTAAGTTTTAACTTCTTATAAATAAAAAAAAAATAGAACATTAAGAGTTGACTCCTCATTTTGTCCTATTTTTCTCCTTGTATTTCAGAGTTCCTGGCCCTCCGGTTGATAAGCAAGGACCAAGAGTGCGCTGGGTGGTTAGAAGTTTTCTACAATGGGACCTGGGGTAGCATCTGCCGCAGTCCCATGGAAGCCACCACGTTATCTATAATCTGCTCACAACTTGGCTGTGGGGACAGTGGGACTCTCAACTATTTTATTTCTCCCAGGGAAGGCTCCAGACTTCAATGGGTGGATGGGATCAAGTGTAGAAAGACAGATACTTCTCTCTGGCAGTGTCCTTCTAATGCTTGGAAACACAGGTCTTGTCTTCCAAGAGATGAAGCTTATATCACATGTGCAGGTGATCTACTGTCTATTGCTACATGTCTGTCAATTTCCTATAGGTTGCTGTTAGGAAACTGTCATACTGAAGTGCTGGGCTATAATATGTCTACAGGATGAACTTTGAGTTTTAGATTATTTAGTATTCATCTCCCTATCTTATTTCAATAACAGAAATAAGAAATTCTGTGCATACACAAATTTATGTGAAAAAATACTAGGTGAATGGGGAACTGAGTATGCAGAAGCATGAACAAGCCCTGCTGTAAACTCACTAAGCAATTGCCCAGCTAAGTGTTACATTATGTTAAATTACAATTTCTTAGCAAAATGAAAACTAAGACCATGAATATGATAAGACATCTATTTCCTGAAATTCTGTGGGTATTTACAGGTAGTGAAGCTTAACCTTTATCACAAACTGGTGAAACAAATTGTGATTATCATTTAAGTCATACAACAAAAATAAGTCTAGCAGTAATGATCTCAAATGCCCAAGACCTTGCAGGAAGTGAGGAAACTTGAGGGATCCAGTTTTATAGGTCTATCGCTTAGGTTTCCAGCCCTTTGGTATTAAATGCAGCAAGACTAAGTAGACAACATCAGTCAGTGTTTGGACCAAAGCAACTGATTGCCTTGTGGGTAGAAGCATACTTAATGCTTAATTTTAAGCCATAGAACAAAAAATAAAGCAAACATCATTTCCCTCATGGAGTTTATAATCTAGTACTGACAACATTCATTGTGTAGCAGTTTGAGTGTCCTGAAGAGACAGAAGATGCTGTGGAAGTGTGCACATGAAAAAAAGACAAATAACACTTATCTTAGATGTAAAGGATAAGTAGGCTTCAATGAGAGAAGAAAGATGAGAAAGAACATGGTCAGTATAAAAACAGAGGTAGAAAAAATCCAAAAGGACTTGTTGTGATGAGAAAATGCTATTCTCACCAAAACAGGAGGGTGAGAGAGAGAGAGAGTGAAAAATGATTTCCTGAAGTGGTAGCCAGAGAAAGAAGCTTTTCTTAAGCAGATAGCCTCAAATCTTCTTTGAAAATCACCCACGTTGGCCTTTTTTTTGCTCCCACATTGTCAGAATTGCATACCTAGGGTATAATCTTAAATGAATTTACCTCTTTTAAGAAACCCATTATTCTTGTTTAATACTTCATTTGCTGAGTACTTACCCTTTTATATAATCTTGATTGAATTTACTTCTTTTCAGAATCTGAGTCTTCTTGGTTAATACTTCATTCTCTGAACATTTATCCTTTTATTACTGAAAACTAGTATATCCCCTCCTCTGAGCACCTAAAATATTCAATAGTGCCTTCCAGAAATAGAACCCATAATCTTCTGCTTTCTTTATGCCCCTAATGTTTCCATCATTTCTGTGCTCTGATTTAAAAAAAAAAGAAAGAAAGAAACCTGAATGACTTCTGGAAACACTGTTAATCCTCTGACTTGGAAACTCTGTATTTCCCTGTCAATGTACTTTTCTCTGTGGCATCTCTAAATATACTGTTGCTGCCCATTATCATTTCCAATAGTTTCCCTTTTTTTCTGTGTTCATCTAGTTGAAATTCACCCCTGTGGTGGTACTTCATGTTACTTCTGCTGATGTCATTAGCCACTTGCTCATTCCTACTGGTCTGGAGAACCCTACAGTACTAAGTTCACCAGATGCACCTTTGTTTCATTCCTGATGTTGTCAGCATCATTAAACACAAGGAAAACTACAACTAAAACACCAGCAATGAAAACATATATCATATCTACACTCAAGTAAAGCTTGGACATGTCTGCATTGAGGTGCAACTTTTCACAACTGGGCTGCAGCTTTGCTCACTGGAAAGCACTCATCTAACACAATCAAGATGCTAGTCTCAAACCCTAGCAGGGTTCACAAAGAAAAAATCAAAGAGGAATGACAGTGGTAATGTAAGTCCAACCAGGGTGGCAATGCTGAACATCCTGGAATAATGACTTCAGCCTTCCTCTCAGGTCAGCTCTCCTTGGACCATAGATCTTAGTCACATCCACTATTTCAGATTTCATTTCTTCAGTTGTCTAATCTTACTTTTCACAATCAGTTTCTTTCTCTCTTGGTTCTAGCACACCCATATGCACATAAATTAAATTTTCTCTTTAATCTATGAATACACATTCTTCTTCCACATTACTTTCCTATTTACTTACTACTCCACCTTTTCTCTTTTCATCCCAGCCAAAAACTCCAAAGGAATTGTCACTGTCTCTAATTTTTGTGTCTCTAATTATCCTAATACCATTCCAATCATGTCTTATATTCTACCACTACTCAAAATAAAGAAAAAACATAGTAATCATCTATCGTTTAATTATGTTTGACTTTTCAGCAGTCTTCACCACATTGACTTTCTTTTCCCCTTTACATTAACTTAAAACCCCTTTACATTGACTTTCTTTTCTCCTTTACATTTTTTTCCTTTAAAGAGGAAGAAGAAGAAAATAGAAATAAAATAAAACATTTTCAAATGAGTATACTGGGAGAGTGACAATAATTAATACATTGTGTACTATTATCTTCATAGGAGTTATACATGTCTATATATATTTTTCTTATGACCCTTTTGCCTGATAGATCACTCTTTTTATTTTGTGTTACTGGGTTGCAACTTCTCTGCACTAAATTTAGACACACTCACAGTTATCTTCAAAAATCTCTATTCTTCCTTAGTTGTGCTCCTACTCTAAATGATATCCATCGACTTAGATGCTGGCATCACATTGACAGCTCCCAAATACAAACCTTCACTCTTGATCTCTCCCCTGAGCTACAAATTCATGTTTTATGGCTGATTTGTATACTCATGTAAATACTCCATGAGTGTCTAGAATTTCATTGGAAAAGTAGAATACTTTACTTCACCTACTCAAACATGGGCTCTTTTTCTACCAAACATAACTCCTCATTTCAGTTATATTATTAATGCCCATTGAGTGAGGCCCAATTCACTTTTATTTCTTCATTTTTCTTTTCTCCCAATTTCAATATAATGAAAATTTCTGTCATCTCTATATACAAATATCTCCTTAAATCTCCTACTCTTTCAATCTCACCATCTCTATAGTTCTTGAGTTATTTCAACAGTCTTCAATGATCTTCTCTTCAGTGTTCATTCTATTTTATCTATTTCAATTACCAAGTTGATTAATATGTAGATATGTAGTAGGTTAAGCTGCCTTCAGAGTTGATGCTGTCATTGTGTTTCTCAGATATTAAAATAAACCCTATGTCATGAAGAGTCCATTATTAACTTATTTGGCAGAAGCTCTAGGTCCTATCGAGCCAAGTTGTCCTCAGCCTTTGAAGGATTTTACTAGAGAAGAGGAGGGTGATGCTCTGTAAGATCCTCTAGATGATAGGGAGCTCACTGATGAGTGGGGATAATAGACAACCGGTTGGGTGCACTGTAGTGCTTCTATCCATGTGAGGTCCCCAGTGAGTGAACAATGTTGTCTGCCTGGTAAATGAGTGCTGCGGTGGGGATGGTCAGCCCCCCTTCCCTTGCGCACCTGCCTTTCTCTCTCGTCACAGAATTGGCTACGTTTGTTTTTGCTGGATTTGTATATATGGCGTACTAGGGGATCACACTAGTTAAGATTTAGAGAGAAATCATATTTTCCATTCACTTAAACTTCAAAAATATTATTTACTCACTACAAGCAAGAAATATATAAAAATGTGGATTCATCATATCACATCATTGTCCATTGGCAGTATCTTGATTATATACATTGATATCCTTACAGAGACATATCTAAACTCATATATCCAGAAAAAGGTTATCTTGATGGATTCTTTTATTTTCACAATATTGAGATTATATCATACATAATACTGTTAAACAATCTTTTTCTTATTTAACAATTTAAAGGCAAGTATTTCCATATTTATATAGAGATAGAAAGCATATTTATATAGAGATAGAAAACATTGAGTTTTTCCTTACATTATGTCTATTAGATCAAAGCAAGTGCATATACAGGATATCAAAAGACAACACAATGATGAAGACCACAAATCCCATCCTAAGATATTTGAAGTTTAAAAAAAGTTAACAGGCTGTACTGCTGCTGTGTTACAATTTATTAAGTGATCTAGTGAACTGAAATGAAAAACGTCCAGTATATTGCAATTCTTCGTTCTTTCTGTCTCATCTTGTTTGGCTTTTTCAGAGCCCTCTCCCTTTCTTCAGTTTTCTTCTTCTTCTTGTTCTTCTTGTTCTTCTCTTCCTCCTCTTCCTCCTTCTTTTCCTCCTCTCCTCTTCTCTCTCTCTCTCTCTCTCTCTCTCTCTCTCTCTCTCTCTCTCTCACTTCATCCCTCCATTCCTCACTCCCCATCTCTCTCTCTGTCACACACACACACACACACACACACACACACACACACACACACACACACACACAACGCCCCTCATTCATTTTATTTGAGTAATGTGCTAGGAGTTGCCTGAAGGCCACAGTCGGGCAGAATAAATGATAAATTTGTCAAAGGGAAATGTTTCAATTCTCCATTACTTCTTTTTCCTGAGGAAGCTGAAGGTTATTAAATTATAAGATCATGTGTTGTTGATATTTTCCTCAAAATTTGTGGACCAGTGATAGTAAAGACTTCGGTATTGAAACTAAGCAACACTGAGTAGAAGTCCAATCATCACTTTCAGAGATGTACCCTTAACTAGAAAGGAGATTTGATAGAATAATATGGAAAGTATGAACAATTCTGATGACTCAGGACAAGTGTTGTGTTTATACCTGAATTACTATATTTTTTCAATTTATGTCAATTTCTTATTGATTCAATTGTTATATGTACTTTTTTGGTTCTGCATCTCTATACCCTCCCATGTATTAGTTTAACTCAGTGAGTTCGAGTTCTGTGGAGACATTTTTGTCTTATCTGTTAGTTATTGTCCACTTAGCTATTTTACTCTTTTTTTGTTGTTTGTTTTTTGAACTGGGGATCGAACTCATGACCTTGCACTTACCAAGCAAGGGCTTGAACCATCAAGCTAAATCCCTGGCCCCTGTTTTACTCTTAGTACCCTTGGTTCTATTCTACTTTAGAATTAAATATTTTCTAATCTTTATAACTGTTTCATAACTTCGTTACAGTTTAAATGGAATTTTGAATAAAAATCAATTTCATGATTATGCACAGTTATATTTTAATGCTCAATTGTTGTTACTATATATCAATGCCATTAATTTTTATTGTCCTTTTTATTTAACTGATTTTCTAGAACTAAAATGAATTAAATTTAGCAGAATTAACTTATGTAGTCATTCACTCAATAAACTCTTTTCAAGCCCTTATTCATTATATATATAGACGGTTCTCTGCACACATTTGTGTTTGTGTTTGGTGTGGGAATGTGTAAAGTGTTATATAATTGAAATTAAAAATTAATTTCACCTGGTGATAAGGCATATGGGCCAGTGATGCTTTAGCAAACAACCTAGATTAATCCTGAATGTGACTTTCTACCTCTGTCATTTGGAGTGAATTTAGGACCTTGTCTTGGGGCAAGATCAGTACCAGTTACCACTGACCTTCCACTTCCCCACTGTCTCCTTCCGCAGAGCAAAGATTCAAGAGCTGTCCAACTACTGCGCCTTGCACAGGTACTTCAGCCACTCCCCACTCCCCCATGGCTGCCAGGGGTTTTTGCCTCCACTAGGGTAGTAAGAAGAGGGGTTGTTGTCTTTGCAGAAAAACAGAAGCTGCGGCTCGTGGGAGGAAACAGCGAGTGCTCAGGGCGCGTCGAGGTGTGGCACGAAGGCTCCTGGGGCACTGTGTGTGATGATTCCTGGGACTTGGCAGAGGCTGAGGTGGTGTGTCAGCAGCTGGGCTGTGGCCCTGCCCTGGAAGCACTGGGAAAGGCTGCATTCGGCCCTGGAAATGGAAGCATCTGGCTGGATGAGGTGCAATGCAGGGGCAGGGAGTCCTCCCTGTGGGCCTGTGCCAGGGCTCCATGGGGACAGAGTGACTGCAAGCATGAGGAGGACGCGGGTGTGAAGTGCTTAGGTGAGTAACAGGGCAGGGCAAGGCCAAGGGCTGGGGCTGCAAGACTGTGTGTGTATGTGTGTGTGCATGTGCATGTGCATATGCGTGTGTGTGTGTGTGTGTGTGTGTGTGTGTGTGTGTGTGTGTGGCTGCCTTCTGCCCTGGGCTGTGGTTTTGCAGAGGATGCACTCAGCTCCTGGAACCTAAAACAGAACCAGGTACAGAGTTGTAGATATTACCATGTGACTGTCCAGGTAACACAGTGCACAAACCCTGTTTTTCTTTTCTTTCCAGGTGAAATGACAACAGTTTCCCCAACTAGTAGAAGTAAGTGATTGTTCTACTTTTAGATGGGTCATAGAGGAGATGCTCAGATTTTCATTGATTTGCACTATGAAATCTACTTATTTTTGGCACTATTATATTATGCCAGGTGATCTGGTTTTAGAAACAACCATATTTTAATTTGTAGCAGCTTTAGGAAGCCCACGGGTATTCATGTTTCATAAATCCTCTCGTGCCTATACCACAAGACAGGCTAAAGATTGAAGGCTTCTTTTCCTCCTTAGATGCCAGTTCAGTCTCAGCTCCTGGTGTCTTCTCCTTACCTGTGATCATCTGCATCATCCTGGGAGCCCTCCTCTTCTTGGTCCTCGTCATCCTGGGGACTCAGCTGCACAGATGGAGAGCTGAACTCCAAGGTATAACTTCATTTTTCAAGCAACCTAGAAGTATGTGGGGAGAGTGAGTTTAGTCACCCATAATTTAAAGGGGTCGATGATTTTGGCTCATACCTTTAGTTGTTTTAATCCATGGCTGTTGCCCTTTCCCCCAGGGTAGAGACAATATGGAAGAGTGGCATGACAAGAGATAGTTGTTCACTGAATGGCAGCCAGGAAGCAGAGATGAAGGCAGGAGCTAGGAAAGCAGATATTTCCTCCAAAACCATGTCCCAGTGACTTCACTCTTCCAAACAGGTTCCACCTCCAAACAGCACATTCAGCTATGAACTCTGTTAGATTAATCCACTCATGAGTACAGTGCCCCCATGATCCAAACCCATAAAATTTAAGGGAAACATTTTAGATATAAACCAGAACATTCAATCCCTCTTTCATCTGAAGCCTCATGTCCAACTCTTTACACAATATTCATTTAGTTCTCGTCTAAGAGTCACCAAAGTCTTCCAGACTTCCAGTACTGTTAATAAGTCAAAGTCCAAATTCTCCTGTGAAAATCAAGAGAACTTTTAACTGTGAATCTCAGTGAAAACCAAAAAAGAAAATTACATATATCCAGCATACACTGGCACAGGTTAAATATTCTCATTCTTACAATGTGAAAGAGGGGTACATAAAAGAATGAAACTAAAGCAAGAATACAACTAAACGGGGAAAATACTAAATCTTGTAGTACTGTGAATGGCAACTGGGGCATGTTGTAGTAAGATGTGAACGACAAAGGGCTTGTTTAGCCCCTATGATATCAGTAGCTCATTCTCATTCTCTCCTGGGTTGGCTACATTAATTTCTTGTGGCTTTCCCTGACACATATTTCACATTCCTGCCATCTTCAGCTTTCTCTGATCTCCAAAGAACCTTAAGCTTGACACTCACAGCTTTATGCATTGCCTTTCCAATGGTAACTTGATTCATATTGCAGATCTTCCTTTGAAATCCGGGCAGAAGTCTCAGTGACCCCAGAACTCTAACACTACATGCACAAAAAACTAGCAAAATGTGGATAATTTCAAGATCTACTATTACCAGAGCACTAGCTCTATACCCCTAAATAATGGATATACTTTTCACTAAATGCTTGCATGGCTAAGGAAAGAGAAATAAATTCTAGAGAATCAGTTCTGTGTAAGGAACTCTAAACTGCAGGAACTCTATATCTCAAATTTAAAACTTCACATTGTTTGGCCTGAGCTAGGTGAGGTCTTACTGATTACTGTTGCATTCAAGTAATTTGCCTATCATCTTGATGCAAATTATTTATTTCTTTTAATGCTATTATTTTTAGCAACCATACCTTCTCCTTGATATTAATTGTATAGGTGCTATCTTTCAGGCCAAGTTGTGAATGTTTCAAATCCTTAGGTTTCCTTTTTTCTAAATCCTGATTCTCATGGTAAATTGGGCAAAATGAACCAGAGTGCCTACCTCACAGCAGGAATACTGGACTCCCTTAAAACATCCTCTACCAGATTAATTAGTCCATGACCTATAATCTTAGACTCCTTCAAAGTATCAGGACATGGGGAAGAACCAGGACAAATTTTCTGTCATGGTTGTACACATGTGACCTCTAGTATCACTTCAATGGTGTCCTTATTCCCAACTGAAATCTTCTGAGCTTGCCTTCTGTACACATTACTAGCAGCATTCTGATCTGAACTCTGAGCAGAATCTCCAATCAATTTCTGACTACTCTGCTTACAGCATTCCAAGATTTCCATAGCTCATATCTCCAAACCTTACAAACTACTCCAGCAAACTATTTGCAATAACTACTCAAACACACAGTCAAGTACAATTACAGAAATGTTCTTACTGCTTGTACCAATTATCTGACACTTTTTCATTCCAGGAATAAAAAGACCTCCAACTTAAAGAGCAGTGGTTTAGTTTGGCTCATAGTTTCAATGGATTTAGTTCATGGTTTGTTAGCTCCCAGGCAAAAAGCATATGGAAAATGGCATGAGAGAGCTTTTCACCATGTGGCAGCCAGATATAAAAGAGAAAGTGAGGCAATGAGGACAAGCATACACATATCAAGTCACATTCTCAGTAAACCACCCCTCTGACCAAACCCCAACTCAGAAAGTCAGACTTTTAGATGACATTTTGGATGTAAACCACAAAAAAGAGGGCATCATGACAGCTGTGATTTTTAGGCAGAGATCATGCTTTAGTCTTCATCTCATTATCTCAAAAAATATTTCTCTATGTTCCCTTCAAGATTGAAACCTTGATCATGAATTAATTGTGAAGGCTCTAAAAATTATTTGTGATGACATAAATAATTTGAGTTTGGCTGAGTGTACAATGCAAGTAGTGTCAGGAAACATGCTTCTGCCTCAAAAGAGCACAATTATGGTATCCCATATGGGCGTGCAAAAGATAAGCACTGAAAAACTGATTTTTGTCCATTGTCAATAAAGGCCTCCAGGATCACTCTCTGAATTCCCTCTGCTTTCTCCAGCCTTACCCACTTTTGAAGACCCTCTGGATGAGGCCTTATATGAGGAGATAAATTACATCATAAAACCACAAAAGGAAGTCCTATTTGACAACCCAGGTGTGTACCATACCTTCCTTTCTGTTCATGTAGGTGTATTGTTTGGGTGTCTTTAGCAACTACAGATAGAAATAGTAATCAAACATTATATAGTCCTCTTCTTCTTCCTCTTCCTAAGATAACAATTCAAGCCCTCTTTCTACAAGTCTGCAACCTCAAATTTCACTGAACTGTAACACTGGGCTTTCTCCTGTCTGTTTTTCTCCCTATCAGAAAATCTTTCAGATGACTCAGGGAGCAAGCTGCCCTATTACACAGACAACAATGAGGAGAATGGAAAATCTGCCCCAGGTAGTACAGACAAGTCTTCATTTTATAGATGATGTAAGAAATCTCATCTGAGGGGAATATTGTCCTGTGATTCAGATGGGGATCGCCATGTCTCCCCTGTATGAATATGATTTTCTGTCTACTCACTGACCTCAAAGGAAAGATTCATGCTTACTTTTCTTGACATCCACAGCTGCTACTGTTGGGTCACAGATACACAGCAAATCTATTACAATAAATTCAAAAGCTTTTTAATAATCACATTTAAAACATTAAAAAATTCATCATGAGAAAAAAATTAAGCAGCATATTTTTTATCCTGAGATATAGCGGTCATTTGTGGTTTATATTAATAATGTGAAATTGTTAAACAGGTAACTTAAGTATTAAACTACATGGAGGCCATGAAACTCACACTTAGCATCCACCGAGAGCTCTTCTCCACAAAGGACCATAGTGGTGCCTTGTATACCTTGAACTTTTCCCAAGCGACGACAATGGACAACTCTTGGGATGAGTTTCATCAAGAAGGGCTCTATGGAGATGAAACCCAAAAGTCATGACAGTACTAAGTAGGAGTTGAAACCAAGATCTCCTCATTTGTATTGGTTTAATCTCCTATCTATGTATTACAGAAACTAAGGCTCCCCTGCTCCTCGGAACTCTATATACCCTACTGCTGCAGAACGTACTTTGGACAGCCTAAATTCTTTTGTTCCAGATTCATCTCCTTCAGTCACTCATATGTACCTATTCCATATTACAATCTGCATTTTAACCATAATATAGAACCTGGTACTCAGAACATAAATTTGTTCATGTATTTTGGTATTAGGGACCATTTTAATGAAATACCATTTACCTAAAAGTATTGGAATATATTAAATATACAAAAGTATTGGAATGGTTTCTACAATAATATTATCTACCTGCCTCTGGGCAACCTTGGAATATTGTGCCTATATTCAATTCTTAGAATCTCTGCATTTGAAGAGACTTATCCTTCTCCAACCCATATTTTGCTCTCCAATTTATTCATTGTCTGTTTCCAGAACCTCTAGCACAGCATGTTGATGTCGCAGGAAATGGCTATGATGATGTTGAGGAGTTACCTGCTCCTAAAGTTCCTTCTTCCCCTGAGATGAGCGAGATGCACTTTCCCTCAGAAGATAGAGATGGTACCAGGAATTCTCAATCAGGTGCGTGGCTGCTCTGTCTCCCATCACATTACTTGTTGTTATGGGAAATATGATAGTAAACCTATCACTTGTCATTTTTTTCTGTACTATAAGGAGATAGATAGCCTGATATACTTGATGATATCAACTCTTACCTATTAAAAGTTTATTATAATGATCTGAACTCTTCTGAGAGAAAAAAAATATTGTTTTCCTAATCTATACCCACTGCCATTGGATACAAACATGCCTTATAAGTTGTATACTTTGTACTTGTGTTTCCACCTCCTCACATGCATACCAACATATGTGATCTGACTATATAAATAAATCTGTAAACATTTTTAATAGTAAGACAAATTAAATCTGTGAGCCAAAAAAATTGTGGGAAACACATAATCAAATGTTTGAAGCTGACATTACCCACTCGTACTGCAGAACATGCAGAGGCCTTAGAGAACGATGAATTTTTAGCACTGAAAAAGGAAAAGAAAATTTCTTCTCCTTGTTTCAGTGACAATGACATTATTTCCAAGGACTAGGCTTTGTTATGAACATGTGGCCCATGGATATCAAAAGCTTGTGCGATTTGATCTGCTGTCTTTTTTGACAAAGAGAATATATGAGCACTTGGTGGTCATGTTTGGTCTGTCACAAAGATATACAGAAAATCTAGTTGTCAGCTGATGCCTTCATTTTTAAGCTGTTTCTGAAAGGGAGTTCCTTTTTTCTTCTCTCTCTTTTGCATTATGAAACCATCTCATTTCTCATTGTTAACAACACACGACTTTAAACACATGAGGCAACCCTATCTCACCTTTCAGAGAAGCTTTGTGTCTTTGTGAATATTTTGTAATCACTGTGTTCAAGTCTTCTTAAAAAGTACTATTGATTCTTTTCTATCACAGAAATAAGGTCTCTCCTTACTGTTGCAAGCATCCCCCCTCAGGCCCTAAAAGAAGCTGCCAATTACAGAATAGAAGAGAAGGAATTTTCCCTGTTCCTGAGGCAAGAAGACCCTGGGTATGATGATGTTGAACTCAATGCAATGTAGAACCATATTCAGAGCAACCAAGTATGTGAAAAACTCCTCCATAATACTGTTCCCAAATAAATCAGTATCTATCATTTTTATAACTGTAAAGTTTATATATGTGTCTATAATGAAAAAGAAATATCATAATAAAAAATTCTGTGATTATTAACCAGTGGAAATTTTTTTTTTCTTAAAGAATATAGGTACATTGAGCCTGCTGACTCTAGAATATACAATCTTCAAACATTTTCTTCTCCTTATGTGGCTCTCAGTTAAAAGACCTTTCCCAAACTCAATAGTTCCTCTTTGGAGGAGGAACTCAGAAACCCCTAACTGAATATTCTAAAATACTTTATTCATTCTTTACTCAAAGTGAATGGGGTATGTAAAGTAGAAAAGGAATAATAACACCTCCCCTAATTTAGTCAAAGTTGTATATAACATCACTAGCTAAAATCTGCCGCTGCCTACAGTTATATGTTACTAAATCACTTATTCTCTTTTCTTGTTCTGCCTGGAAATTCTAAATCTCCTTCCTTTCTACAGCATTGTACTTTGCATCGCTCACCAAATTTTATGGTTCATATCATTTTCCACTAGTATATCTTCTCCATCCCTCTCTCTGTATTTTAGGCACCCAACAATTCTAAGTTCATCTGAACAAAAGTTTTCAAATGACTGTAATTATTTTGAATTGTTTCCATCCAAATCCATATTCATGTGATTACTGAGATTGTGATTTGGCAAGACCAGCACTCTAATTCTGCTGCCTAAAAGGCATTCCTGGTTCTAGTTATCTATGGCAGTAACAACAAAATTGAATTATTTTATGCCCCTATAGTGAACTTTTCCATGTCTGCAATCTAACTGTATGTTTAGCTAAGATGTTTATATATTTTCTCCTTTTAACTTAAACATTTCATGTAAAATATAATGTATATCTCTGCCAAAATTATCCATGTATAATGATAAAGTTTTAAAAATTCATAAAAAGAATTTTTAGTTATTTCTTGAAACTTTGCAAGTAAACCTTAACTGAAAAATCTCAAGAGTATTAATCTCTATTAGAAAGCTAGAAGGCCTCACCTTAATTGATGAAGTTTCCATGTTTGGATCTATACTTTCTTCTTTCAACCTCTTTAGCTATGTTCTTTGGTCACTGGAATAAGCAATAACAATTGGTTCTGTTTGGCTGAACACATCAAACTCTTCTGAAACCTTGTGATTTATACACATTTTCACCCTTATGGAATGGCACTCTACGACCTCCCCTCCTTATAATTTTCTGACTTATCTTCCCCAATTTGAGTAGTAATTTTTTCCTATATACATCAGATATCAATTCAATAGATTAAATGGTAATTGTATGTATCAAACCATCAGGAAGAATCCTACTAGTAAACATTTACATATTACTTGTTTTGTAATCCTTAAAATACATGATTTAAAAATGATTATGTTTGTCTTTCTGGAGAACATATTTCATTGCTTTGCAATGTTTTAAAATACAAGTAAGTCCGTTTTGCACCTTTTTTATCTTATGAAATTTTTTTAAATTTCTTAAATAATGAGAGAATAAAAAGGTTACTACAATGTGCCATCATATTTAAAGTAGTTACACAGAGTACAAAATATAAACCAACCATTCTTACAAAAAAGAAACAGGAAACACAAATCTGTCTTTTCAAGATACTGAGATAAGCTACATGTATAAATAAAATCAATTAGTATATAGATTCAAACATTTAAATGATATTTGCTTTTGGGGAAGTACTTCAAATTTTCCCTATTATCCATTTAATCTGTCTTCTATGTTGTCTTCTATGTCCCTCAAATAAGAGAAATAATGAGCTTTTCCAACTTCTTTATCTGAATTATTTCACTTAATATTGTGTTATCACTTACCTACAAGTGATACCTATAAACTTGGCACCTCAAGTTTATCTTTCTTTATGGCAGAATATTTCTGCATTGTCTATAAATATCACATTTTCCTTATTCATTTATCTGTTGATGGACAAGATCTAGAGTAGATATTATAAAATGTGTTACAATAAACATGAGTATATATCAATCACTGTGGTATATGATTTTTTACTCTTTTGGAAAGATGCCTAGGAGGGAGATATTTGGGTCAAACACAACTTTGCTTTTATTTTTTTTGAGGAATCGGCACACTGATGTCCATATTGGTTGTACTAGTTTACATTTCCCTTAAACAATATAAAAATGTTCCTTTTCCCCACATCTTCATTGGTACTTTTTGATAATAAACATTTTTTTCTGGATTATGATAGTATCTCAGTGCAGTTTTCATTGGCATTTCTTTGATGTACTTCTAAAACATGTCTACTCATTTCAGGTGCCCATTTTTTGATTGAGTGTTTTATCTGATTTTTAGTTCTTTATATTTTCACTGTTAGACCACTGTGTCAGGAATAGCTGCAAAACTTTTTTCTCATTCTATAGGTTGTCTCTTCACTCTGTTCATGTTTTCCTTGGTTTGGTAGCTTTTTAAATTGATTTTATCCCATTTGTTGATTCTCAGAATTATTTTTTGTGTTATATGTGTTCTGTTCAGAAAGTCCTTGCATATACCTATCTTCAAGAGTTCTGCCTATTTTATCTCCCAATAGATTTAGTATTTCTGCTTAAACAATTAGATCTTTAGCTCAGAGACAAAAGCACCTGGCTTGCAAGCAGGCGGTTGTGAGTTTGATCCCTGGTACCGATAAAAAGGAAAAAAACAAAACAAAACAAACAAACAAACAAAAAACAATTAGATCTTTAATCCACTTTGATTTTAGTTTAGTACATGGTAAGATAAAAAAGGTGCAAAACGGACTTACATGTATTTTAAAACATATTGGTAAGACTCAGTTTGCTTCATGGAGATTTGCTTCATAGGTTACACCACAAAACTAGCTTTGCTTCAGATCAACAACCTGTGCCTTTGGAAACCACAGAGCAGTGCTTATAACAAACCTATAGAAACTGATTTTGTTGAAGCATAATTATCTTAAGTGTTAATTAACAGTATTCACATTCAAATTTAATCTTATCCCTCAGTGAGCAAATAAACTTTAATGTGTTGAAAATACACTGTTGGCAGCTTAATTCATCTTACTAGAAAGTTTAGACTTGGTATTTCATCCAAATGGACACAGCACATTTGAAGTTCTACTGTTTTACAATTATCTTGCAGTTCTTACAGTCCTCATTTTTAAATTACATTAATTAGTACAATTTAGATATGCAAAATGATCACATGCATCATAGGGAGTTTGTACGTTTACATGTCTTGCTTCCTATTTTCCCCATTCCCCTCCCTTTCTCTTCAACCTCTCTTCCTCTCACTATTGCAAAACTTCGTTCCTGCTTTTTTCAACTTTGTGCTCATTTTATCCCTTTTTATTCTCATATTTTTCTTTTCCCTTCCACTCTCTCTTCCCTTCCCTTTTGAACAATTACTTTCTATTTCACAATATCTATTATACATTTTGTTTACTGTTTACATTTGCAGCTTCTCATACCAAAGAGATAATTTGACATTTACACATATGTGCCAAATATATTTCACTTAAGGTTATGGTCCCAAGTTGATCCATTTAGCTATAAATGTCTCAAGTTTATCTTTCTTTATGATGGAGTACTATTCCACTGTATAAAAATGTATTTTTATCCATTCCTGGGTTGATAGGCATTTGGGTTCTTTCTAAGATTTAGTATTTCAAGCTGTGCTTTTATAAACTTAGGTATCCATATATTGCTGTGGTGTGATGCTTTTAATTCTCTTCAGAAAATATCAAGAAGTGTAATAACTGGATCAAATGAAACTCCTAATTCAAGTTCTTTGAGGGATCTCCATACTTATTTCAACAGTGGTTGCCTCAATGTACACTCCCACCAACAGTTAAGAAAGATTCCTTTTGTCTACAGAGCCCCATTGGCATTTGTTATTAGTCAATTTGATGATTTTAACTATTCTTTCTGGAGTGAGATAGAATCTTAGTGTTGTTTTATTCAGCATCTTTCAATGATCAGTGTTGTCAAACATGTTTCATACTTTTATCTGCCACTTGTTCTTCTGAGACATATTGATTCGTTGCACATGATCACTTTTAGAATTGTTGTTTAAATTTGGAAGTACAATTTTTTTGGTTCCTTATGTGTTTTGGGTACTAATCTTTTGTCTAAAGAACAAGTGGTTAATTTTTTTTTTTTTCTACTCCTTAAGTTGTCGTTGCACTCTCTTGGTAATTTCTTTTGTTATGAAAAAAAGTTTTTAAATAAGACGAAATACTAATCATTGATTCTTTATTCTATTTCCCATCCAGTTGGAATTTCATTCATGAAATATTTGCCTACAACTACGTCTTGCAGTGTTTTGCTGATTCCCTCTTTCAGCAGATATAGTGTCTCTGTTTAACATTTAGATATCTGATCCAGTTTTAGTTTAGTGCATAGTAAATATATGGATCTAGTTTTAATTTTGGCAAGTGAAATTCCAGCATTATCCGGACAATTTAGTGTCAAAATACTTGAGAAAAATAAATGTTGACAAATATAATGCATTGCAAAAAAATTTTAAACACAATTTTGGAAGCCTAGTTTCAGTTTTGCAGTGCTTGTAAGAGATATCAGGGGATAACAAACAAAAATAAATCCAACAGAAGTTACTGAACCAGTATAGGTTAATCTATGGCCTCTAAATAAGGAAAAATTACAAATATTAAAATCATTGATGTCAAAATAAATAACAAATGGATTTAATCCTTGTTTCAATGAACTAGAAAGCAAGGGTTTAATGTTAAACAACTCTTCCTTCTTTAAAAGGACTATTAATGCAAAGGGGATAATGATTATGGTGGTCTTTTACAACTAAAATTGTACCATAAGAAAGAGGGAACCTGGTCAAAATTTCCTTGTGCTCAGATTGTTTTTATACTAAAGAAATATTCCTTATTTGTATTCAAATGCAAATGTAAACAACAGGATAATCAGATGCCTCTGACCTTTAAAGTG